GAGAGAGAGAGAGAGAGACAGAGAGAGAGAGAGACAGAGAGAGAGAGAGAGAGAGAGGGAGAGAGAGAGCAAGGCCTACTTAGACTAGTGGCTGCTACGGAAGAAAATATCATAAAGGCAGTGCGTACGATCATTGAACTTTGAGCGCCGTCTGTCCTCCTGACCTGGTCGCAAACACCGGACGAGCTCCGCTCCCAGTTATTCCGGTTACGACGCTCCTGCCAGGTGCTGCCTAGAATCCCTATCGAGGGCGCAATTGATACCATCGGGTGTCTCTGAAGATGGAATACATCTATTCGGTGACGTTATAGTGAAAACCCCTCTCCCATGGGTACAGTACCTCCTTGGCCCTTTTGCATCTCAATTTCAGAGTCGAGGCGGGAGGGAGCTGCAGCTGGGTGACACCTTGCTCCTGCCCGATCGGCTGACGGCCGGCCTCCTCTCAAAACGATTTCGACACGCGTGGGAGGGGTCGGTCAGCGGGGGTCGACCCTCACTCGCTTCCGCCTTCCGGGCGTTGTTCTTCCGGTAAGAAGTGGCTTGAACACAGGGTCGCGAGGATCTGGTAACTCGCCACGTTCGTGTGGAAAATACATTTTGGCACTCCAGGTGTCTTACATGTTTTGGTTTGCTTGCGTCGCCGTCGCCGTGCTGCCCCCATCGTGGTGGTTGTCGTTGTCATTGCTGTTCGCTGGTGCTAGTGCTGTCCTTCTCTGTTGGCGTGGGGTATTCCGCTTCCTACCTCTACCTCGGGTCGTCACGGTCGTTGCCTTCTTGCGACAATGCTTCCTTCACCACGAGCATTCAAAGTACCCTGTTGTTGACCCCATGTGTGACGTAGAAAGCACTGCTAACCATGCAGCCTCTTTCCGGCAGTGAGTTTTGCGTGGCCGGAGGGTTTCGGCTGTTGACGGAGCTGGCCAAGATAGCGGCGCCCATGGTGCTTCGCGAGGTCATCCTCTTTGTGGGGGGGAACGCCACGGCCGTGCCCAACAACATCACGGGAGGGCTAGCCCTGGCGTTGTTCCTGTTGCTGCTGCTGCTGTTGCAAGCGTGCGCGCTGCAGCACTTCATCCACGGAGGTACCGATCGTCTGGCCGTAGCGGCGTCGGCGTGTAGTCTTCATTGATGCGGTGCAGAAAATTGTACGGCTCGTCGTGCCGTTGTGTGTTTTGTTGTACATAGTTTCACCTTCATCTTGTGTTAACAGTGCTACTGTGGGGCGTGGCTCGCCTGTTGCGGGCGGATTGCTCCTCACGTCATAATGGACACCAGTTGTCGACCCTTCTGTTCTGATCATTGGTGTTTCGGCTATGTTTTGTGGGTGCTGGTTTCCACATCACGTCGTTTCGCGTGGAACTGGTGTTGCTACTGCTGTTACTAATTTCCACGAGTGGGACAGCTAGTCGTGCTGGGCCTTAAGGTTGCTACGTCAAGCGTACGTCTCCCAGCAATTTGTTCCACCGTATTTTGAAGTATGATGCAGGGCACGATTCGCAATAGACGTGTGTTTCCTGGGGCACGACAACAGGGAGGAGAAATCGATACAAGATCCATCAGAGCCGAGGTGCTCTCTGTCGACAACGGATTCCGTCCTCCCTTGTTCTTGTTATCCGTTTTGTCTCTTCTCGTGCAACAGTTTTCGTCGTGGGTGCTGGCGTGAACACGGTAGCGACGGTCGCCGTGTTCGACAAGGCACTCAGGCTGTCCAGCGCATCGCTGGAAGGCCAGCGTCTGGGGCAAGTCCTGAACTTTCAGGTGATTTATTTTGCATGCCCAGCTTTACCTTTCCTCCACCTTCCGTGTGCGAGGAAATACTTCGGTCGGCGCTGATTTGCATGGAGGCACTGTGTTGCTCTCAATTGTGGCCTTTTTCATGCCGGTTTTGTTTTTTTTTCGGTTCTGAAAGGAGTCGCGAAAGGGCGACCACACCATATTACCCTAGCCGCAGCCGAGAAAACATTATACTGGACCTCTCCGCCTGTATCTCCCATCCTTGCGGCGAACTGCGTTACATTGTGAGGCATTGCACGTTTTTCATGTAGGCCAAGGATGCGTCCAAGCTGCGAGAGTTCGTCGTGTTCTTCCACAACCTCTGGGCGGCCCCTCTCACCGCCCTCGGCTGCACGTTGCTGCTGCTGCGCGTCGTTGGGGCCTCTGCGCTGGTCGGGGTGTCCTTGATCCCTCTTTTGATCCCTCTAGAGACCTGGGTCGCGAAGCGGTAAGGAGAGCTGAAGAACCTGTACTAAAAACATGCCTCCGCAGGTGACGGGGGGGCATGCGCAGTTTCGACAGTAGCAACGGGTGCGGCTATGGAGCACCGTTGGTTCCTGCCCATGGCAGAGCAGAATCCAACCCCTGAGTGCTTGGCCCCCTGTTTGCGAGGCCTTTTAGGTTGGCCACTCGTCAAACTGGCACTCTCGGGAAAAGAGTCGATGGCTAAACAACAATATGGCAACCCTGTTCCACGCACAAGCAAACGCTCTACGAGCCATCGCCCACACACAGGGACGAACGTCTCGCACAGAAAACCCTTACGACTTGAAACAAAAATTTTGGCTGAGGAGGCTCAACAAAAGCATGCCGTTTTTCCCACAGGTCGGCCAAGTATCGGGAAGGTGTTCTCAAGGTGTCCGATGCCCGGATCAGCCTTATCGGAGAAATCATCGACGGCATCAAGACGGTAAAGCTCAATTCCCTTGACCACGGGTTCAAGTCAAAGGTGGAGCTTCTGAGAGCGAAGGAGCTCGCCAGCATCCGCCGGGCTTTGAGCCTGAACGCTTACAACCAGGCGCGTGCGCGGTGGGGTGTGAAAAAGAGTCTTTTGGTGCATTGACAAACTTTTGCTGGAGCCTGCCTTGTGCACACTCTCGACTGATCCTCAAGACGGACACGTTCATTCGCAGTCACACAACGTGGCGTGGCTTGCCGTGGAACCAAAGAGGCCCTAGCCAGCGGCGAGCGTTCACGTGTTGTTGCCGCCACCCTATTTGCAGTACACTTATCATTTTTTGGCCACGTAATGGCCTTGTTGGTGTTGACATCGAGCGGGGAGCAGGAGACGTGCTCAATGTATATGCTTGTGCATCTCCTGTATATCGACCACGCCCTCTGAAAACTACATGTGCATTTTTTGTCCTCGCCACTCCTCTTCGTAACGAACACGCTCACAGGCGGTGATGCGGTCCAGCCCCATCGTGGTGGCGCTTGCCACGTTCGCGGCCTACGTGCTCTCGGGCCATGAGCTCGACGCACAGACGGCCTTCACGTCACTCGCTCTCTTCGGCACGATAGGCCACCCGTTCCACGTCCTCCCGAAGGCAAGCCACGCAGCTCAGCTCGTTGGATGGTCCTTCCACGGCAGAACCCCCTGGTGTCCCATTGTTCTACATGCCAAGTGGTATCGCTTCGAAACGCGCGTGCATAAACATAGGGGTACTCCAGCGTCATCAAGGAGTGGTGCGAGATGAAAGAGAAAGCTCGAAACGTCAAAAACGGTAGAAACATGGCTAACCGGGAATGTTGGCACCAAGAAAATTTGCGACCACAACCCAGCCGTTTTTGCAATGGTATCAGGACGAACATGTTTCACACACGGCTTGCGGGGGTGAGCGACAACGGACCCGGTCCTAGCATGCTTCGTGTGTTTCATGTTCCATTTGTGTATGAAATCGGCTACGAATACAGGATAAACGGGGTCTGCATGCATATCCTCGCTTCTAACAAAGCCGCTGCATTCCTTCGCTCTTTTCCCCGGGTCCGCCGCCGCCGCCGCCGCCGCGCCGCCCATGATGCCTTAATTCGAGACAGGCTGTGCAGCTCCTCGCGGATGCGAAGGTGAGAAACGTCAGGACCGCCCAATGATCTCGCAAATCCTGGGCAGATGACACCTAAACCCCACTTCGCAAGTTGTTAATGTTAGATTCAACATTTCCTGGTACACTTGCATATTCAACACTTCCTGGTACACTAGCTCATGCACGACGCACACACCGTTATGCCGGCCGTGAGTCAACGAGAAGCGACCGATATTGATATACACACCGAAAACTGCTGGTGTTCTTCCACCACTTCTTTTTCTCCGCTCGCATCCCACAAACAAAAACGAGACTCGCTTGACACGGGCACCAAGGAACGGCAACGGCGCACATCCCACCCCTGGCAACTCAGCGCTTGTTTTGAGATCTGGGTTCGCGCAAGCATCCTCTGCAACTGTTATCGACGGTGTGGTCGAAGAGGGAGTGAAACGCTCCTTCATTTGGGCATGAAGCTAGGTCATCCTTCTCTCGTGTTGGTGTTGAGTTTGCACAGGTTTGCTATTCCAGCAGAACGGCGGTACCAGCTGATTTCAGCCCACCCGACATTTGCCGGCCCCAGATGGCGCTCCTTTTCAACCCCCAACCCCCGCGCTACACACCCTCGCCCTTTTGGCGTACACGTATCTCCGCAACAGGTGTCTCTACGACGGCTGAATGCATTCCTATTGAAAGGCGAGACCAAGCGGCTGGAGAACGTGACGACATCGGGGCGGGGGGCACGGGGCGGGGCCGATAGCGTTGATGGAGACGACCGCTCCCCTAGGGTGGTATTGCGGGATGCGGCCTTTGGACCGGTCGTCGGTGGGTGGCGACTACTCTGCCGTTCTAGTTGGCGTTGTTGATCCTGGAGCTACTGATGGTGGTGTAATGGTTGGTGCTGTTATGATTGCTGCTGATGTTGCTGCTGCTGCTGCTGCTGCTGTTGTTGTTGCTGTTGTTGTAGCTGCCGTTACTTGATTGCGTAGTAGTGAATATGTGCTGTTGATGCTGCTGCTGCTGTTGTTGTGACGATGAACGTTGTTATTGCTGCTGCTGCTGCTGCTGCTGCTGCTGCCGCTGCCGCTGCTGCTGCGGCTGTTGTTGTGATGATGAACATGATAACCCAAGAGCAGGCATGCATGAGGCTTGGGTCTGATCGGCTCCAGCGTTGACCATCATTGTTTTTTTTTCATGTTGCTTTGCGCCAATCAATGCCGGCAGTTCGTTCATGTTTCGGTTCTTATTCCTCGCGTCTTTCTCTCACGTTGATGTCTATGACAAGCTCCAAGTTCATGAACGGTCACCCCTTGCACACACAGCAAGAGAAATATCCGGCCACATTCCCCCCTCTCCCTGCCGCTTCAACACCACACCCTGATTCTCTGCACCGTGACACTCGCCCCACCCAACGCCATCTTTGCTGGGTTAACCCTCTTCTAAGCAACCACTCGCGAAACAACACGAGACCGTGCACGCCTACAGGAAAACCCTGCTTGGAGCACGTGACGGCGGAGATGCGTCGCGGGCTATCCATCGTGGTGGGGCCGATCGGCTGCGGCAAAAGTACGCTGCTCTCAGGCCTCGTGGAGCACCTGCCGGTTCGGGCAGAGGGCGGGGACAAGGAGTGGGGCGAGAACGGCGTCGGTGGCGGTAGGAGCGGGGGGGGTGAGCGTGGCATGGGTGAGGTTACGGTGGTGGCTCCGGATAAGAGGGTGGCGTTCTGTCCGGATACACCGTGGATAGTGAACGCGTCGGCTCGTGACAACATCTGCTTGGGGTAAGCGCGTTGGCTGTGTTTCAGGAGTGGGAGGAGGGTTGCCTGCGGTGGAAATGCTGATGCAAATACTGGTGGTGCTGCTTGTGCTGGTGGTGGAGGTGTTATTCGTGGACTGGGCGGACGTCTTCCTAGTGGCGGTGATATCGGCGTCCCGGTGCTGATGCGGTTGCTCTTGGTGTACGTACTGGCTTTCTTGGTGGTGTTGGAAATGGCGACGCTCTGGTGTGATGCCTCTGTAAATCGCCAAGACAATATCAACACGATCGTACTCTCCGCGATGGCGATACCTATCTTCATGGTAAGCAGGCCGGCTACCGCGGACGATCGGCGCGTGCTGTCGTTGTTGGGCTGTTCCGTGTGGCGATCTTGTCGGATCACGTCGCGGCTAACAATTGCGTGCGCTGTCGGTGCAGATCTCCTTCAGATTCCTTTGATGAGGTTCTGTACCGCAAGTGCGTTGAGGCATGTGCTTTGGAGCGAGACTTCGGCGAGTGGGAAGAGGGAGACCGGGCGATAATCGGAGCAAGAGGTGACAGCTCGTCCCAAGACTCGAATTACTTCATTTGTATGGCATCTCTCCGTCCCCGCCTTGTCTTCCAATTTGGCATGTTTGCTGCTGCTAATATTTGGCCTTTCTTGCTCTCGCGCTGACGGGGGTCATTGTTCCGATGGCCCCAACGTCAAGCGCTGACGAGCGCTGGCTACAGTTGCAAGTATACAAGCGAATGGCGCAAGCAACATCACCCCTTGTAACATATGGCAGAGAGTGCCAGGCCTTCGGTATTGTCTGCACGAGGATTAGGAGCTGCGTTCTCTTTCAATCTCTGTCTCTCTGTCTCTCTCTGTATCCCTCTCTCTCTCGGGGGCGACTTGTGTTACATTACCGGATGAATTTTAAATGCAACAATAAAAACAGCAACCCATGCCGCCGTATCCATCCTCAGGCATAACGGTGAGCGGGGGGCAGAAGGCCAGGATAGCGCTTGCGCGCGCCATGTACTCCCGGTGCGGCGTCGTTCTCCTGGACGACCCCCTATCGGCCCTAGACAATATCGTGGGCGGCTGGGTGTTCCGTCGAGCGGTGCTGGAGATGGCACGAGACGCGGCTGTTGTCATGACGACCCACCAGCCGCAGGTAGAGACGTTGTCGCTCGCTTTTTGTTGTTGTTGGACGACGAGATCGGTGTGCATGTCTCCAACTGTTGTTTCTGGACGACGCTTTTTTTTTTGGTCGTTTGTTTTATTTGGTTGTCGGACGACGAAATCGGCGTCCATTTTCTCCCCATGTCGTGTCTGGACGGAGAAGGTCGAGCACACTCCGTAGCAAGCGAAGAGGAAGATTTGCCCGTTCGCGGAGGCATCGATCTCTGTGGGTTTAGGGTATCGTACACGGGAGGCGACGCAGTATTGTAGATTGGGCAGCTGGGTGTTCCTAAGAGCGGCGATCTTGGCTACTTGTCAACAAAAAACCACGACGAACAAGTAATGGCACGGTTTTTCTTGTTCATTTATGTGGTGTCGTGTGCATGTTTCTGGGTTCTTGCATTTTTCATTGATATCGCTGATTGTGTGGTACATTACTGGGGTTATTTAGCGCCTGTGGCAATTCTACAATGTTTCCCGACTTGTCTTCCGAACAGATGCGTAGTTGTGCTTGTTCCGGTTTTAGACACTCCGCTTGTTTTTTGTATTCTCACCAACCTCTGCTTTTACTGCTCCTGTGGATGTTCCTCCTTACAGTACATGAGGGAAGAGTACTGCGAACTATTTTCAGTCAGCGGGGGAACACTAACGCTCCGGGCAAACGGAGAAGAGCAAGGACAAGGGGAAGAAGAGCAGGGCACATTCTTGAACGCGGCCGGATTTTCCACCGTCGCGGAGGGCGCGGAAATGGAGGTACCTATGGATACGGACGGTCGATATTGTCATCGCTGCTTTCTCCAGCCCGCGGCATAGACGTTTCGAGCGTAATATTCTTATCGATTTGTATTTCGTATCGCGCGTACCTGTTTCGGGCGCGTTGTTGATACACTGGTCAATTCTTCGTTAACAATGCCGAGTGAGCATGGAATTCAGAACATTCAAGGAACGTTCTCTGCTAACGGTGGCGATAAACCATCCAACGTCGCTCAGTTGTCTGCACAATTATCTGTGCTGTTTCCTGAAAGGATCGCTCTACATTATTATTGACTAAGCGCGGGAGGTGCGCACAGCTTGTCTGTGCGCGTTGACTCACGCTGATAACTACATTGTTTTCAGCACCTCAAGCTAACCTTAATTCAGGCGACCTGATGCCAACTCGTCGTCGCCATGCGTAATACCAGTATGAGCTATAGAGCCCTCCAATCGCTCCAGATAGCTTTGTGTTTGGCTTGGCTTTCGTTTCGTGCACGTCAGCCTTGCGTACTCACTCCCATCTTCGATTCAACCGCAGCAAAGTTAATCAATATAGATACACTGAACCATCGACTTTGAATGAAAAATAGCCGCACATTGTTCTCATTCATGAAAGACCCCCTCCCTTGTTATTCCCAACTGTCAATGAACTGTTGGCTTGCTTGTATTTTTTGTGCACGCACACGAGAAGCCCACCTTGGCTACAGCGTCCGGTGAAGCTCATACACCAGCCGCTGCCACCGGGAACAAGCCTGCTAACGCCACGAAGCCGGCTGAGGCAGAAGCCACGGACAAGACTGGTAGCAGCATGTCGACGCTCTCGGCGAATGTGAACCGCGACAGAGCGAGGGGAGGGGTGTCCAGGTCGGTGTACATCGGCTACGTCAAGGCGTGCGGCGCGGTCGTCGTGTCGGTGGCCCTCGCAATATCCGTCTTCGCCCAGGTGAGAAATGCCAACTACTTGCCCGCGTGGAAAGCTTTCGCGGAATTTTCCTGCTGGAAATACCAGGGTTTTCCTCTTCTGTTTCTCCCTGGTGTAGATCGCTGCCTAGTCGCGTCCGTGGCGCTCGCTTTCTCCGCGCCCGGATGGGGGTTTTCCTTCAGAGCAGGTCGCTTCTTCATTCCCGGGTACGCTGGTCGGAGTCCACGCCTACTATCCTACCAGATATTGTCTTTGCCTTCTCCACCGTGCTCGTCGAGGTGACAGCAGTAGACGTGCTCGCCCCAACATTCCGTCACGTGTTGCGCGGTCGTTGCTGTTGGTCAGCTTGTGGACGTGTCCAAGGAGATCGTTCTTGCCTACTGGTCCGACAGCAGGACCAAGAGATCGGGTCTGTACTTGACCTGGTGAGTGTGACTAGTTGTGATGGGTTTCCCGATTAGTTGGTTTCCGAGTTGGGGGGGGGGTGCTGAGTACCACATTACATGTATTCGAAGGAGAACCGGGGTTACAAAATGGCTACGATGGTCGGCGCCAATTTGACTGCCGGTGGCATGAACTGGGCCTTAATGGTGCAGGCGCTGGCAGCTAAGGAAGCCCTGGCTTTCACAGGGGAATATGACAATAGAACAGGGCGATGCGTGATGGCGCGCCGAAGCCGTTCTTGCCAAGTGCGAGGGGTAAGAAAAAGGTCACACACAGGATAAGAAAACCTGCTGCTGCGGTCCTCTCCTCGCAGGTACTCGTTGGTGTGCCTGTCTGTGGTGGCGATGAACGTTGCCCGGTTGTTCGTCGTGTGCTGGCTCGGCCTTCGCGGGAGCGAGTCCCTCCACAGGTCGCTGCTTTCCAAGGTGGCGAAAAGGGTGTCTCCAGAAGTGTTTGCTAGGCACGGAGTAGGCGTGTTGCGTTGTTGCGTTGTTTGTTGTCGAGATATTCTGGGTGGGGTCGGAGCCTGGCATCTGTGAAACTGTCAAACGTTCACCCAGCGTGTGGATTTCGCGTTACGAGTGGGGCCACAACACCAAGCACGCCTGTCCAATTGTTCGTGTTGTCGGTGTAGACGTCATTGCAGGAAATTTTGGGTGTGCTCGTTTTGAGGCTGTCCAATACTCACTGATAGCCACAGCAACAAATGATGTGGTGTTGGCGGGGGTGCCTGTTGGGCTGATTTTCCGGGAACTCCGGTAACTAGTCTGCGCCGACCTACTTTCAAACAACAAACCTATGGGTTCTCTCTCCCCTAGGTCTGCCTGCAGATCCCTAAGAATCGCAGACAGATTGTCTTTTTTCGTTTATCGAACAATGACTGACTCGGAAACTGCCTGCATTGCCAACAACGGTAGCAGCTATACCTGAATGGGTTCTCTTGTTTGCCGTCCGATCGCCAAGCTAACAACATATGATCGTTGGTTCAAACAAGGTCATGGGTGCTCCTCTGCCATTCTTTCAAGTCACCGACAACGGCCGAATCACGTCGAGGTTTGCGTCGGACTTTGACTCGATCGACTTGGCCATCCCTACATCTCTCTCGTCCTTCATGGATGCCGGTAAGTTCGGTTCGGTGCAGACGTGACGCCTGGTTTTCTTTTTATTTCACTTCATCTTACATTATGAACAATTGTGGTATCAAAGTGCATGGCCTCCGATGCCTGGCGTAAGAATGTGAAATACTCCGCTGTGTGTGGTTGTGATTGCTTATGTTTCGATATATTTTCGACCCCCCGCCGATGCAGTAGTCCCAGACGTGAGATATATGAGGAAATATCTCGTCTCTGATCTCGTCTCTGATAAATATAATTTGCAGCTGCTTATCGTTGCCAATTGATATTCGGTCTTGGCGAAAACAGCGCTGACGATGCTGGCGGCCGTAGGCGTGGTCGTTGGCGCGTCTCCTGGCGTGCTCTTCGCCATCTTCCCCGTGGCACTGGCCTACCATCGAGTACAGCGGGCCTACCGCATGGCAGCGAAGGAGGTGGAGTGCATTCATTGCCTTTGGGTTGCATTGACACCGCTGTATTGCGACGGTCCAGTAGATAGCGTCTTGAAGCGGTGAACAAATTGGCACTATCTCGCTTTTTTTAACACGAGCTCCCTCGACAGAAAGGCCGTGGAAGTGTGCTTTTGCGTGTTTCTGTCAATGGCATCGACCTCGCTAACCGGCTGCCCAAGGAGAACACCTGTAGCGTGACACAACAATGGGAACACCCTTCCCAGTCCGTGCGTGTGTGTGGGAGAGAGAGAAGAGCAGAGGGCGGGCATCATTCACTATTTAGGCCCCGTGCGTTGACTAAGTGATTGGCTTTCTCAAGTTCACCGCCGAACACCGAAGGCAATAAAAGTTGCATATGGGAGATTGTCGGATCAAGCAGTGACCTCCCGAGTCCGAGGTTTTCGGACTGCCTCCAGGAACAATCGCTTCCTACCCTTGGTGCCGAAATGGCCGTTTCATCATTAACTCCTGGGTAGGTAAATGACTGCCGCTTTCATCCACTGTCACGCTTTTCGTTTGTGTTGATGTACAACCTAAACAAACACGAGGGCCGCGAGGAAATGGTAATCACGGCCTGTCTTGTGTCAGACCATCTCCTCTAGCTCGTGACAATGACATCAATAGCCATATTGACGTAGATTTCGACCTCTCTCCTCCCCGCGTGTACGCGCCGAAAACGATATTACCAACGCCAGCAACAACGACGCCAGCAATAATACGAAACTGAAACGGAAAACCAACGGTACCAATCGATAACAGCGACAGACGGTACCAAAGCAGCGGCAGCAGCAGCGGCAGCAGCAGCGGCAGCAGCAGCAGCAGCAGCAGCAGCAGCAGCAGCTAAAACCACAACAACAATAACAACAACACCAGATCACCAGCACCACCACCACCCCACCACCACCAACAACAACACGAAAACATCGACAGCTGAAACGGCTCGACAGTGCGACAAAGTCCCCGATCTACTCGCACTTCCAAGAGACCCTCGACGGCCTCAGCAGTATCCAAGCCTACGCCATCGAGCAAAACATGCTGAGGAAGCACCTCTTCATGGTGGATGCCAACGCCAGGGCTAGACTCACCTGGGATGCCACCAACAGGTAGACTACTGTAGTTCAACACCCGAGAAACGAGTTCCAGTACGCGTGCAAACGGCTCAGCTGTGGGTGCTGCTGGGATTTGATACCTTTCGCCATTTTTTTGCATATTACGATGAAGCAGCAGTTGCTCAGAACTCTCTTCGCAGCAGCTCGACAACACCGCGGAAAGTTCGGTTTGCCTGAGGCTCCCGCAACGGGTTGTCGATTGCAATCGTGACACCTGGATGTGAAGTTTGTGTAGTGACATGAGCCTCGCTTGAGTAGTGGCGATTTGACATCCCTCGGTATGACCCTTCTCCAGGTTGTGACGGAATCACAGTGATCGGAATGGTTGGCTTGAATGCGTGAAGGGCGGCTTAGTCGAACGGGATACTGTTAGGTTGACTGTGTGACTACTGGGATAGGATAGCCTTCCTCGTGCAGTAGTCACTGTTGCCTCCGTATCCAGATGGACTTTTCTACAGTAGGCGAATCGAGATGGCCCCCTCCGAAACACCAACAGGATGCTGAGCTTTTTTCGAAACCGAAAACAGTTTGCTGTTACTGCTGTAACATCACTTTTGCTGTCATCGGCGCAGGTGGCTGGGGATCAGGCTAGACTTGCTCGGCGCCCTGGTGGTTTTCCTGGCGACGCTGATGGCAGTAATTGCGGGTAGATCGTCTCCCGGGATGGTGAGCTGCTATGCCAAAGAGCCGTTCTTGGGGAAACCCCTCTTTTGTTCGGCTTGCTTCTCCTGTCTTTGTTCGATATGCAACGTAGACACTGAATTCGAAATCGGCGTTGGCCATCCAGTCTACTGCGAAAGTTATGTGGTTTAATGGATAACATGTCCGTCTCGTCTGCCCCATTGCGTACCTTGCGACACAGTACGGCCACCGCCAAATATGTTGCACCTGCGACGTGCCATTCACTCTTCCCTACTGCACGGTCCCTGCCCAGCGCGCGAACGATCAAGCGGATACCGAGCTCTGATTCTGTTGGACTGTGTTTGCATCCCAATCATCTGGGCCTTTCCACCCATGCACAAAAGACTTTTCCTACTTCTGTCGTGTTGCCGGACCTCCGCAGCAGTATTCACCCCAAAGCCCAATACATGATCCATTCGCCGTTTTCCCAATGTTCGTAAACCAGTATCATAGACACGCGGCGCTCCAGGTTTCCGTAGCCAAGCCCCCCAGGGAAGCAATCCTATGCCGTGACTATCATCACCCACCACACTGCCGATCACCTTTCAACCCCCCCCCGCATATGGGATGATCGCACCGCGTTATGTCAAATTGGTCAAGCACCCTCGAGGCAGCTACACAGTGCTTACAACTGTCGCAGGAAGTGAAAGTACCAGAAAATAAATTAAGTCATACGCAGCTGTCATCCGTACGCAAGAAAGTAAGCACAAGATGCCGAACACCCTTAGCAGGATGCAGCGCACCCTTCATGCGACTCGCCGAATACCTCACGGCGCTTCGCGCTTGGTGATGTGAGCGCCTGGTCCGGAGAGAACCCGGCGTGCTCCGTCCCGGCTTTGTAGGGATGCGAGGTCAATGGTCTAACGACTACGGCATGCATGACTATGAGTACGCCCCCCCCCGCATGTTCAAGGTCGGGCTCGGGCTATCGTATGCGTTGACCATCACTCGGACGCTGAGCTTCGGCGTTCGGAGTTCGACGGCGCTAGAGAACCAGTTCAACTCCGTCGAGCGGGTGCAAGAGTTTATCGGCCTCGCTCAGGAGGAAGATGACTCGCATAAGGTACAGAACGGTGGGGCGGTTGCAAGACATATTCGAGGGTTATGCCTTTTCCGCAACATATTTATATATTTTTTCACTTGTTGTCACCGTATTTGTGAACCTCACTCGCATTTTTGATATACGCAAAGTCCTGTCTTCTCGTTTTCAGTTCATGGCCTGAGCGTCGGGGGCAACACACAATGGAACCCCCTTCTGCGAGAACGCACCCAGTACGACGAACCATCTCACCTCGAGCTCTCTTTTCTTCCCATGACAACGACAGCGAGGTCCATAGTAACTTATATCAACCCGTTTATTCGACCCAGACCTAACCTCACGTTCTACGCTGTGGGATAGGGTACCCGTGGCACTCTACGAGACTCTCATCTCCTGTCCGATTGTGCAAGTAGTATTAGGATTGATCGCATGGTCGCTTGTTGATTTTTACGCGAAAAATACCAGCCGGCGGTCGTGTTTTACGCGTCAGAAGTTGTACATCCAACAGAGTAGCGAAATCTTAGGCTTGGTAGGTTTATCAACAACAGCGACATGGCACACATACTGTACGCGCGTTTCATGTATGTACTAATCCCGCCATATAGGTGAAAGTAAGTGGCCCCGCGACGAGGAGGCCTTGGCCGTCCAGCGGGATCGAGCTTCGAGACGTGTATGCGAGGCATCGGCCAGACCTGCTCCCAGTTCTGAACGGCGTCACCTTGTCTGTCAAGTGAGCGGCACGCAATTAAATGTAAATAGTAAATGTGGTGCGCTGAACGTCTCCGCCTCTTCGTCGTGTAGTCGAGACGACTGGTCGATTGCTCGCCGCGGGAACCCCCGTCACCTTCAGAGAGGTGCTTGAAAGACGGCCTCTCCCGTACAGGGTGCTTGTATGAACCCGACGAATAGCCTATCCTTTCTCTTTACCATTTCATCGATCCCCCCCTCCTTTCGAGTTGCACGGAGAATCTCATGGGCTAGCCTTTGTATTAAAATAGTACGACAGGAGAGTAAGCTGGAGTTTGCGGCCGCAATCCCCAAAAACCTCCCCC